TTTAAAGTATAAATGAAAAAAAATAATAAATAAACAGTAAAACTTATAAACCAGAAATAGTTCGCTAGAAGAAAATTAGTATAGCGAATATAACAAAAAATAAAATGCGTTTTTAACAAAAGTAATTAATTAAAAATAAGCGGCAACGTTAATTACCTACTGAGATAAAAGAATTATGAATAAAAAGTATTTGCTCTTTTGAACATTTGGACGCGGATATTTGATACTTTATATCAGATTTAGCTAGTTAATCTACTTAGAAACGTAATATTTAAAAACTAATTATTACATAAAAAAAGGGATTGCCGACACTTTGGATGTAGGAATTTGAAATTTAACCGAATAATTTAGGGATTGGCGTGAGTGCCCTTATTTCAACAGTCAAGGATTATAAAACAAATGTATTATTTTTCGTATCATGTGGGGTATCTACCATTTAGATACATTTAAGAATTCTAAAATCACTTTTTGGTGAATTGATTATAAACACATATATAGCCGCCCAAGAAGTACAAAAAATATCGTTCGTCACCGATTCTTTTAGTTTTTAAAGTAAAAATTTCAATAATATTTAGATTAGCAGCGAACTGCTTAGTTAGTAAGCTGAACTTGACAATATACGTGGAAGGATCATCCAGTATAACTGGAAGGATAAGTTTTAATAATACCAGGATGGCCGTCTTTAACGTCGCAATCTTACACTTGCTGAAAAACTAAATTTTTTCGTGTTATGCAAAGCCCTATGTGCCAAACGGTCTCATTTGACTTTTGATGGGCATTTTTGTGGAAAAAATATTCGAACATGCTTTTCATAGGTTTGAACAACCAGCAAAACTTTTTGAGAAAGAATAGCATCCCGTATGCACTCCTGGATCACAAGGACTATTCAAGGATCATTAGCCCAAATAAGAGAAAGGTACATTTATTGTTTCAAACTTTTACATCTTTTAATGCACATAACTACTATTGAAATTAATAACGTTACCAAGAAAATGGAAAACAAAATAATCTAAGGTCACGAATTTTCTCTAACTTAAACGTGACACTTAGAAGGTTCGACTTAGTTCGAAGTATCTTCCTTTCTGTATCTATCATCTGATACTTTTGCTTGGATTTTATTTGAAGAAACTACAATGGCGAAACGTGCAACAAACATCTCGTAATGACGAAAAAACGTTGTCGTTTTAACAGGCACATCCTCGTCCATATATGAGGGCGTCGCGCCGCCGGTCCGTGATTGCGAATCCACGGCGGGATTTTCGCAGTTCGAAACGTCTAAAAGCGACGTCGTCATTTTCATAATTTGACCGTCTGTATTCCGGACGTTCCCGATCGATCCGATTGCGTCGGTCACAAGTGACACAAACAAAATAGTTCAAAGACTGTCAGACGCCACCACACCACTTGACGACCGCCATAGCGGACAACAAAGGGAACCGAAATGAACGAGAAGGAGGAATCGGGGAAATGGCAGGGAAACAAGCTAATACCATATCTAACCCAGAACCGAAAGGAAAGGGTTACTTGGTTGGTTTGTTAATCGACCGTTTATAATCCCAAAAAAGACGATTTTAAACAAACAAGCAAGCAAATGGCACAAAGCGATTCCCAAAGTTGTTCAGTACGTTTCTTCTTTTTGGTTGTAAAAGTTTAAAAAGAAAATGCAATGAACTTGCAAAGATCTTGTCACCTATTGTCTACTGGAAATTCTTTGTCAAACAATATCCATTTTCATCGGTAGATTCAAATAATCTTCTGTTTGTAAAAAACAAACTAATTTATACGCCATATTGTACTATTCGTATTGACAGAAAATATTATTTAAAAAAAATAAAGCATTTACTTTCAAGTAAAAGGTAGAAGTAATAGCTTTTAGGTACCCGGTAAAGTTACTATCCAGTGCATCCCTAACTACTCTTAGAATATTAAACTAACTAAGAGGCTAGCTAAATAAAGAACCTTTGCAAAGGGAGTTAGATGAAACAACATATGAACAATTAACTGAAACTTTAAAAGGGATTATATATTAACAGCGTATAATTCATGAAATAACAACACTTGGTTTTGTTTCACTATTTTTTATTGAATATTTAATCCTCTAACATATGTTTCGGCTGTTATTATGCCATTACCAAAGAGTTATACTGTAAACTAACTTAAATGAGTAAATTTCTTCTTTTAAATGGAACGAATTACAGGCCTGACGAAGGAAGCTGGCGAGCGGTCGCACAGGTACTTGCCCATTTATGACCTATTTGGGTAAGTCACTTGGAACCGATACACAAATAAGCTTTCAATAGGCGTAAATTATAGTATTAATACAGATAGGACAGTAGCGTACTAGAAAATAATGTAAAAACATGACTTATCAAAAAGAAAAAATTAACCTATTGCTTTTGTTTTATAGTTAGTTTTCACATTCACTGTCATCATGGGAATCTCTATCACTGTCACNCATCAGACCAATATTAGTAAATAAAACGAATCTGGGTTCTCTATTAGTAAACAATAAGGAACGACAAGAAAACATTGAGAAAAGTGGTGTATACGATATTAAATGTAAAGATTGTGATTCTATATATGTAGGTCAAACGGGTCGTTCAATAAAAACACGTTTGGTTGAACATCAAAAAACAATAGCACAACACTCAAAAAATACAAATTTAGTGAACCATTTCATACAAAACAATCATATATTAGATATAAATAATTTAAAATTGTTACATACACAAAGTAAAGGAAAAAGATTGGATTTATTAGAAATGCTAGAAATCACAAGAGCAAACAACAATAACAAAACTTTATTGAATGACCAAATAGATTTTGGGGTTTCCCCATTATTAAAAGCTGTTACAGGTAGAAGAGATTCAGAATAATAATATCAATAATATCTAGGTAGTTCGTTCCATTTAAAAGAAGAAATTTACTCATTTAAGTTAGTTTACCGTATAACTCTTTGGTAATGGCATAACAGCCGAAACATATGTTAGAGGATTAAATATTAAGTAAAAAATAGTGAAACAAAACCAAGTGTTGTTATTTCATGAATTATTTTGAAAAATGTTTCACCAAGAGCTAAGCCAAGTTACAATTAATATCATTAACAGCGTATATTTCTCTGCATCTTATTGAAGAACACATGGCTTTCTTTCAGTTAAACAGGGTCTTGGGGTTTCTATCGTTCTTATGAATGACAGAGAACGTTAAATCTTCTATATCAGAACATTATGTGGAAATTCAGTTTAAATTTTCTATGGACTACAAAGCGAACCCCATGGAAAATCAAATTGGGGAATATTTGCAATAACTAAAAGTCATAAATAATGATGTAGGCTTGAATACAATGGATTTCCGTTTAAGTGAATCCTGTTCCATCAGATTTTAGTTTGTAGGGTTTATCTAAAATCAACGTAATGGAAACCTAATGAAGCTTCATACACGAAAAAGTTTCGTCAAATAAAAAGTACACAAATTTACATTAGAACCGACGTTTCTTATTCGACGAAAATAAATTTCGAACAAAGTATAAGAAAGTTGGGTTTCTTGAAGTTAATTATCTGTATCGCTTCAATCCACGCGTATTTACTAACTGACTGCAGTGCGCTGGTCCAAGATCAGTCGTGGATTAGCAATGGTCGATTATGCCGCCTCCTGGTATATTTACGAGCTCAAACAATATCACCATCGTCGGCAACCGACCGACTGCATTTATCTAGATACATTAACGTATAACGTGAAATGCAAGCTAGCTCGATGCTCTCGGTCTCGGTGCACAGGACTACTAACTAAACGGCCCATTCCGAGAAAGAAGGACGAGTTCGAAGACAACAGAAGGGATCTAAGATCGATATAATTATTGTTTATATCAACAAGAGTAAAGGAATGTCTTTTAATTTTTTAAATTTTGACTCCCTTTTGACCCACGGTCAGATCTCTTGAGACTTTAACGAATGTCTCATTCTCTTTTTTGTCATCACGTATCTAATTATAATATAAAAGACGTCCCCTTATTGTATTAAGTATTTAGATGTTTTATTAATAGATGTAATTAAATGTAATACACATCTCGTTTTGACCGATACAGTAAAAGTTCTTTATTCACGATTTCCTTATTCACGGTTTCATTATTCGTAGGTGAAAAAATTGCAACCCTGTTCCTGTATTCGCGGTTTAAGATTTCATTATTCGCGGTTAAAATCGGTAAACAGAAAAGGATTGGGTGTCATTTATTAGGGGGATTGACCGCAATAGACCGCTCGTGCCTAGTGTGAATTTTTCTAAAAACATGGGTTTCTATTCTAAACATTTTGATTTACCGCTGTGAGATAAATATGTAATTTTTTGTATGGTAACAGACAAAAGTTCACACTAACTGGATACGTTTTTGGTTTTCAATAATATGGTTATTAAAAGTTTTTACAAGTGCTTAAAGTTGATGCTTCTTGTACGATTTACCGCTGTGAGATAAATATGTAATGTAATGTGCAATAGAAATTAAAAAATTAAAAAATAGCCTTCGACAAGCTTTAGAACAAAGTTTTATCTATCTTACTACAAAATTTCAAACCTCTGTTCCAAATACTAAACTCATGATATCAAGAACCGATAAGCATGTTTTGACTCTACGGCGCGTGTTCTA